AGCACATGAACAAGAATATCATTTTGGAGATATCTAGGAAACTTAAAGGCATTGATTAAGACATCGAAAATGTTGAAATCTTGGCCTAGAGTCCTACCTCGCCCACGTAAACATCTCCCTCTCTGTATATTACCATTCACGAAGCAGTTACGCCAGTACTTACGAACGTGTACATCTTTCCTCAATCTTTGACTGCTTTGGTTACATTTATTAAACAGTTTACAAGCATGAAAACTTCCCAATCAACTGTTGTTATTGTTATAAACGGTCTCCTGGTGCTTCGGAACTCATTAACTGTTTAATAATTGTAAACAAAGCCGCCAAAGATTGAGAAAAGATGAACAAGTTCGTAAGTACTTGCGTAACTGCTTAGTGAATCGAGGTCCAGTTTGTTTTTTCGAGCGGGTGAGGTGTTGCTCCCTTAACCTTGCCTCATAGCTCAGCCTCCTAAGACCAGGAACCAGTCTTGAAGCAAACTTCTGGTTTTCCCACTAGTTCCGGAGAGGATACATGTCACTGATACAGGCCTTAGTGCTCATCTAATGAAGCTTTTCACCCACCCAGCCAGCCTGCTAACCTGCCAGCCAGCCTGCTAACCTGCCAGCCAGCCTGCTAACCTGCCAGCCAGCCTGCTAACCTGCCAGCCAGCCTGCTAACCTGCCAGCCAGCCTGCTAACCTGCCTGCCAGCCTACTATCCTGCCTGCCAGCCTGCTAACCTGCCTGCCAGCTTGCTATCCTGCCTGCCAGCCTTGGTCTCAAACAGCTACCACCGCCGCCACCCTCTGAGCCCCAAAGTCACACCAAGAGACAAAGGTCACAAAGGGCACGTCGTGGCCTCTGACCTTCTCGCACTCCTCTGTGTCGTCTCCTCTTCCACAGTCTCCCCTTCCACACACACACACACACTCTCTCTCTCTCCCCCCCTCTCTCTCTCTCTCTCTCTCTCCTCTCTCTCTCTCTCTCTCTCTCTCTCCTCTCTCTCTCTCTCTCTCTCTCTCTCTCTCTCTCTCTCTCTCTCTCTCTCTCTCTCTCTCTCTCTCTCTCTCTCTCTCTCTCTCTCTCTCTCTCTCTCTCCGTCTCTCTCTCTCTCTCTCTCTCTCTCCTCTCTCCTCTCTCTCTCTCTCTCTCTCTCCTCACCTTCCTTGTTGAGTGAGGTGGAGGGGAGATGGAGAGAAGTTTGTGGAGGCTAGTGTGTGGAGGAGGGAAGGGCATAGTGTGGTGGTGGGAGTGTGGAGGGCATAGTGTGGTGGTGGGAGAGGGGGAAGGAGGCAGTGTGGGCACTCCTCCCTCATCAACACACACACCCACTACAATACATCACCTTCTAACTCGGCCAGGAGACACTTAAGGGTCTTTAGTTAACATAAACGTATGCCAATATTATCCACCAAAACAAGCGGTCTTCTACAAGTCTAAAACCAAAATAATGATCATAATGTCCTTGTTACCTGGTGTATATTAGCAATGTTACAATGATATTAACGTGCAAGGTGTGGTGGTTAATATCGCTACACCCAATAACTAAAGCTAAACAAGATAAACTGCTAAAAATCCAGGAACTGGATTAGCGGCTTATGCTACAAACAACGCTAAACCTATAATTAAAGTAATCCAGTTTACAAGAGTATACGATAAAGAAACGTGGTTTACTAGTTGTGTTGCGGCTCTCACCCCGTTGTTGGTTTCGTTAGTGGTTTAATTGGGTAGTTATTACAAAACTTCAAGTCACTGGATGGTCATTATCCCTTCACCTTGTTTCTTCCATCCAGCACATACGCCTTCTAATACAATAGCTTTGTACTGTGCCTCTAATAGTGAGATGGTTCTCTCACGATGACCTAAATTGGCTACTGATCCTCCATTGCCTCTTACTGCCTTTCTCCTGCTGGCATTCTTCATCCACTTTACTCTATCTCTATAAGTCTCCTACTGATCCCCGTTACTCTTTAACCCTTGACTTCATTTCCTTGTTAAAGCCTGTCCCCTCCCCCCCTTTCTCCTCATTTAAATCATCAGCTTAACTTCTCTTCCTCTCTTTTAAAGACTTCCAATTCTCCCCTCGTCCCAGATGACATTTGTGTCTCCTGCACTACCACGGCGCCCCGCCAACCTCCGCCCTTGAAACTCTGGATGTACAGCCGCGACCAGCTGTACACCACTAAGTACACCCCGGTGACTGTTACGTCACCATATAGTTAAGATCTACAACCTCTGCAGAGGGTAGTTAAGGACCCTTTCAATAGTTCATTGACCAACCAGCACATGTTAATGTTCTGAACATAACTCATGCCTGTAGTTAACACACACTTTATAAACACTATAAAGCAGAATGCACCGGATGTGTAAATCTCACCCAAGACCATTGGCTGATCTATTACTCCCCTCGACAAACGTCATTGGTTGGTACACTTCCATGTGTAACTCGATCCCAGACGCCCATTGGCTGGCTCTTTTGTTGAATGTTGCATTGGTGACTCGTGGCCACAGGAGCGCCCAGTGCTCTCCACCACCCGTGTTGACTGTAGCTGTGTCAACAACGATTTAATGAATGTCGCGCGGTTCATTGACCGTCGCTACGATAATTATGTATTGAACTGGAGAGTTGCTTTTGAGGTGTCACTATCGTACTGCGTTATAGACGCTTCCATATATTGTTTACATGTGGTATGGTCCGCATTTCTGATTCTTGGATTACATTGACGTGGGCATGACTGTCTACGGTGCCACCGTGTTCCTCATACGAAGACTGTTAATAGTACGTCTGTCAAGAGCGCCAGTGTTCAGTATTGTTCTTATGTATCCCCATGTGGGTGGGTGTGTACTCACCTAGTTGTACTCACCTAGTTGTGTTTGCGGGGGTTGAGCTCTGGCTCTTTGGTCCCGCCTCTCAACCGTCACTCAACAGGTGTACAGATTCCTGAGCCTATCGGGCTCTATCATATCTACACTTGAAACTGTGTATGGAGTCAGCCTCCACCACATCACTTCCTAATGCATTCCATTTGTCAACCACTCTAACACTAAAAAAGTTCTTTCTAATATCTCTGTGGCGGCTCGTGTGTGTGTGTGTGTGTGTGTGTGTGTGTGTGTGTGTGTGTGTGTGTGTGTGTGTGTGTGTGTGTGTGTGTGTGTGTCTTGCGCACTCGAACTCTCTCTAACCCTGGCCCCTCTCCCCACTCTCTCACCCCTCCTGTCTCATCCATGTCTTATGCCTCCTCCCATCCACTACCCCATCCCCCTCTCAATAACTTAACACCAGTCTCTGTCTCGACCATCTCTTCCTACGTCCTTCTCCCCTTCACTCTCGTATTATTTATATTTTTATTAACATTTTTAACACATCATTTATGCACCTATCTTAGACGTTATACAGTGTGTACCAAGTGCCAGGTACGTGATGCACAGCAGACCCGCCTCGCGGGATGTAGACCTACAAGGCCGTGGGCTCAGCAGAACTTTGAATGCATTATGAGAATATTCTCACGAACACGGGAGTGGATAAAGTAATCCAGGTACCTCTTGTTGTATTTCTTAACATATTGGGTACACCTGTATTTATGCAGCTACCCTGGACTATGTCAAGGGAAGCATCGTGCATGTCAAAACATGTGATCGTAAACAACTCTCACTTCGCAGGAGTGTTAGGCACGTTTACGATATTATCACCAGTACGAGAGTGAATTAAATGTGTCGTATTAAAAAAAGAGCCCCGTATGGTTGCTGTGCATTATTATCAACTGCTGTTTGTACAAGACTCAAGATTACAGTCTGGTTCAAACCCGGCAATGTTTCTTACAATTTCCTACAAGAGTTCCCTTGCAGTGATGTCCTATAACGACAGGAAGCCTCTACGTCCGGTGACACACTATAACAGTGACCCACATTAAAGCAGCAGTACCAGCTCCACAACACACTCACCACGTGGCTTCAATATTACGGAAATAGAAATTAATTAACTTAATATAAAAGCGTTGAATGACACTGGCAGCGTTTTGTTGTACTAGAAGAATGGAGGTCGAAATAGATTCCTGCAATATTTGTTGTGGTTAATTGTGGGACACAGGAAATTCTCCCGTATGGATGATTTTTTGCAGATTCCTATAGAATAATTTATTTTTATTCGGCAATGTTCACACACACACACACACACACACACACACACACACACCACACACACACACACACACACACACACACACACACACACACACACACACACACACACACACACACACACACACACACACAGAGTAATAGTAGTACATTTATCGTGCTTTCTTTCTTATAGACATGTTACTGAATATGACAGATTAAGATAATGACTCCAATAAGACTTCTCGATACTGTGTATGCTAGTCTTTACTCCAGATGTTGAAAATTAAATCTCAAGAGTTACTTTACAAGTTTTGTTACGGCTTGACGCTAAGAGACGCGAGTCGGTGATACTGTCAACACTTTCAGAGCAGAGGTGAAGTGTGTACAGGCCAGATTGACTCATTGATAATCATTAAGCCACTCAAGAGATGGCACGGGCATGAATAGCCCCTAACACAAGTAAGCTTCTTGTTGTTTTAGATTCAGCTACTCAGAACATAAGTTCCAAGTAGCACGGGCTATGGTTAGCCTCGTCTCTGTGTGTGTCCACAAGTGAGCATGAGCAGCCCAATATATATAACTAAGGTGGATGAGGTGAAGTATGGACCGACAGCACACTGTAAGGACAGTTTCTTTACTTCAACCATCTTATCCTACCACCCAAGCTTACAACACGTACTACACACGTCCACCCACCTTACAACTTGACACAAGTAACATTATGCAAGCTGGTTGTGAAGGTCAAGGAAAGAACCAATTTATGTGTAAGTTAGTACAAAATTTACTGATGAAACCTACATCCTTTAATCAAGGTGCTGTTAACAATGTTTAACATTGTTAACAGCACCTTGATGAAGGATGTAAGTGTCGTCTGAAAGTTTGTTATTAATACACCAATACGTGAATGTTGGCACACATTCTCAACCATCTTGTTGAACACACCCCCAAGCCACAACCATCATGTGGAACACGCCCCCAAGCCACAACCATCATGTGGAACACGCCCCCAAGCCACAACCATCATGTGGAACACGCCCCCAAGCCACAACCATTATGTGGAACACACCCCCAAGCCACAACCATCATGTGGAACACGCCCCCAAGCCACAACCATCATGTGGAACACGCCCCCAAGCCACAACCATCATGTGGTACACACCCCCAAGCCACAACCATCATGTGGAACACGCCCCCAAGCCACAACCATCATGTGGAACACGCCCCAAGCCACAACCATCATGTGGAACACGCCCCCAAGCCACAACCATCATGTGGAACACGCCCCCAAGCCACAACCATCATGTGGAACACACCCCCAAGCCACAACCATCATGTGGAACACACCCCCAAGCCACAACCATCATGTGGAACACACCCCCAAGCCACAACCATCATGTGGAACACACCCCCACGCCACAACCATCATGTGGAACACGCCCCCAAGCCACACAACCATCATGTGGAACACGCCCCCAAGCCACACACCCATCATGTGGAACACACCCCCACGCCACAACCATCATGTGGAACACACCCCCACGCCACAACCATCATGTGGAACACGCCCCCAAGCCACACACCCATCACGTGGAACACGCCCCCACGCCACAACCATCATGTGGAACACACCCCCAAGCCACAACCATCATGTGGAACACACCCCCAAGCCACACACCCATCATGTGGAACACGCCCCCACGACACAACCATCATGTGGAACACGCCCCCAAGCCACACACCCATCATGTGGAACACGCCCCCAAGCCACAAACATCATGTGGAACACGCCCCCAAGCCACAACCATCATGTGGAACACGCCCCCAAGCCACACACCCATCATGTGGAACACGCCCCCAAGCCACAACCATCATGTGGAACACGCCCCCAAGCCACAACCATCATGTGGAACACGCCCCCAAGCCACACACCCATCATGTGGAACACGCCCCAAGCCACAAACATCATGTGGAACACGCCCCCAAGCCACACACCCATCATGTGGAACACGCCCCCAAGCCACAACCATCATGTGGAACACGCCCCCAAGCCACAACCATCATGTGGAACACGCCCCCAAGCCACACACCCATCATGTGGAACACGCCCCCAAGCCACAACCATCATGTGGAACACGCCCCCAAGCCACAACCATCATGTGGAACACGCCCCCAAGCCACACACCCATCATGTGGAACACGCCCCCAAGCCACAACCATCATGTGGAACACGCCCCCAAGCCACAACCATCATGTGGAACACGCCCCCAAGCCACACACCCATCATGTGGAACACGCCCCAAGCCACAAACATCATGTGGAACACGCCCCCAAGCCACAACCATCATGTGGAACACGCCCCCAAGCCACGCACCCATCATGTGGAACACGCCCCCAAGCCACAACCATCATGTGGAACACGCCCCCAAGCCACACACCCATCATGTGGAACACGCCCCCAAGCCACAACCATCATGTGGAACACGCCCCCAAGCCACAACCATCATGTGGAACACGCCCAAAGCCACAACCATCATGTGGAACACGCCCCCAAGCCACAACCATCATGTGGAACACGCCCAAAGCCACAACCATCATGTGGAACACGCCCAAAGCCACAACCATCATGTGGAACACGCCCCCAAGCCACACACCCATCATGTGGAACACGCCCAAAGCCACAACCATCATGTGGAACACGCCCAAAGCCACAACCATCATGTGGAACACGCCCCCAAGCCACACACCCATCATGTGGAACACGCCCCAAGCCACAACCATCATGTGGAACACGCCCCCAAGCCACAACCATCATGTGGAACACGCCCCCAAGCCACAACCATCATGTGGAACACGCCCCCAAGCCACAACCATCATGTGGAACACGCCCAAAGCCACAACCATCATGTGGAACACGCCCAAAGCCACAACCATCATGTGGAACACGCCCAAAGCCACAACCATCATGTGGAACACGCCCAAAGCCACAACCATCATGTGGAACAATCACCCGGTGAATCTCACAATGCACAGAAAGACACGATTTGAACAAGTGAACATACTAGAAGCGTCAGCAACAACAGTTCACAGCGGGAGAGAAACAGGGCGCGGGAAGATAGCAGGTGAGGGAGGCGGTGCAGGTTGAGGGAAGCCGTGGAAGCCCTCCAAGTCATCGTCCCACCACACACGTCAGCAAGGTGAGCGTGAGGAGGCCCACCTGCCACACCGTGCTCCTTGTCGTCGCCAGGACGAGGAAGCTACTGAGACAACACACCAGGATACACTCTCCACTGTGTACTTGAGTACATCATTTATTTACCAAATCAAGGCAACAGAGCAAAGGGTGGAAGATGGACTATCATGAAAGAAATGAACGTAAAGTGTACAAGGGAATTTATGCAAAGTGTGCAGTGGGAGACAGAACACGGCAATATGGCTGTATACTGTGTAGGAAGCCTACAGCACTGTAGGACAAGGAAGCCTACAGCACAGTAGGACAAGGAAGCCTACAGCACTGTAAACAACATATGTGAGACCAGCACTATAGTAAGCAGCCTTAGTGTGGAAGCCTCACTTAAACAACAATCGGAGCAAAACTGTGTAAAGGACAGAGGTCTGCAAAATAACTTTATCTTATCTTTAGTGGCGGAACAATCAGGAACGGCTACGTAAGACAAGATTTCACAACGGTCAACAATGTTATGGCGTGATAACAAGACACGACATTCTCAAGCGAACTGCCGAAATGGAGAAAAATTAAATGTTTAGATTGAGGGGATGGGAGAGGAGACGAGTAGAAGGGGATGGACCAGATCACACACCCAAATGAGCCACAAGGATGTCAAAGTGTGAAGAAGATGACTTACTTGATATGGTCGCCACCACCAACCAGGTACAAGGCCCGACGCTTGCGCTAGCTTCACCAAACTTTTCAAGATAACCCATATGGGGGGATGTAACTGTCATAGGATTGTATGGGTCGGTCATATTGCCTACCTTTCAGAAATATCTGTTTTGACAATGGCCCCTTGCAATTTTGATTGTTTGAAATAGGGTATTTGTTTTCGTAGAGTTTTGAGCGGTTTTTCCTTAACATAATATTAAACTTTTTGAGAGAGAGACAGAGAGAGAGAGAGAGACAGAGAGAGAGAGACAGAGAGAGAGACAGAGAGACAGAGAGACAGACAGAGACAGAGACAGACAGAGAGAGAGAGAGAGAGAGAGAGAGAGAGAGAGAGAGAGAGAGAGAGAGAGAGAGAGAGAGAGAGAGAGAGAGAGAGAGAGAGAGAGAGAGAGACAATGAGACAAAGACTACCATAAAGGTCCACAAATCCAGTTACTACTGCAACTTCCATTGTGAGGCAGCCACAGTTATAGGAGAAATTTAACAACTCAAATTAGTCAAATTATATATAAATTTTGGTGATTAAAGTAGGTGAAGGCGCCTGGCGTTACGGCCGCTAGGAGCGCTGCTCAACACCACAGTAGGGACCCCACTCTCAACCTCCAGCGGTCGACAAATCTCAACTTTCGCGGTAAATCACACACGCCGTACCACAGAGTACGGTTTGATGGCCATGATATCAACAGAGAGTTTATATCTCGCTTTTCCCCGCATCCGATATTCCATAAGAGGTCTGTTGTGGTTACTAAAGTTTAATTTAGTCTGGCGACCGATTGGTAATGAATGGGTGTTTGTCTCTTAAAGAGGTGTGCTTCTGAGATGTGCCAGTGGGCTTAGGGAGTGTACAAGCAAGCAAGCCCCCCCACACACACACACACATATATATCATGGGTGATTTCAACCATGGGAAGAGAGACTGGGAGAATGGGGACCCACATGGGGCGGTGAAGATACATGGAGAGCTAAACTCTTGGTAGTGGCAACAAGGAACTTTGAGCCAGCACGTCAGAGAACCCACAAGAATGAGAGGCAATGACGAACCAGCTAGACTCAACCTAATATTCACATTGAATGAATCAGAAATAAGGGAAGTCAAATTTGAAGCCCAAATAGGAATGAGTGACCACAGTGTATTGATATTTGAGTATTTGGTAGAGGTAGGGATAACTTATCCAAGGATGGAATCGGAAGGGAAAAGACTAAATTACCGAAAAGGAAAATATGATGAGATGAGGAACTTCCTAATAGGAATACCATGGGAAACAGAACTCAGAGAGAAGACTGTGCAGGATATGATGGATTATGTCACCCAGAAGTGCCAGGAAGCTGCAGATAAGTTTATCCCAGTCCAAAAGGAGAAAAACGAAAAAAATAACAGAACAATCCATGGTTCAACCAGGAATGTAAGGTAGCGAAGCAATTGAGTACAAGAACATGGAGAAACTACAGGAATAACAGAACACCAGAGAGCGATACCAGAGGGCGAGGAAGGCCCTCTGGTATCTCTTCCTCTGGTATCTGCTGGGCCTGACAGAATCTCACCGTGGATACTAAAAGAAGGTGCAGTGGCACTAAGTGTGCCACTCTCTATGGTGTATAACAAGTCACTAGAAACCTATTGGAAAGCTGGAAGACAGCTAATGTAGTCCCAATATACATAAAGGGTGACAGGCAAGAGGCACTGAACTACAGGCCAGTTTCCCTAACTTGTATACTATGCAGAGTGATGGAGAAGATCACGAGGAAAAGGCTCATAGAGCATCTGGAGGGAAATAGTTTTGTGACACCATCACCAACATGGGTTTAGGGATGGTAAATCGTGCCTCACAGTTTTAATAGAATTCTATGACCAAGCAACAAAAATTAGGCAAGAAGGAGAAGGGTGGGCAGATTGCATTTTCTTGGACTGTCAGAAAGCCTTTGACACAGTACCCCATAAAAGGCTATTACAAAAGTTAGAGCAACAGGCAGGAGTAAAAGGTAAGGTGCTACAGTGGATAAGGGAGTATCTAAGCAACAGGAAACAGCGAGTAACGGTGAGGGGGGAGAGACCAGAGTGGCGAGATGTCACCAGCGGAGTCCCACAGGGCTCTGTAATTGAACCCATTCTGTTTCTAATATATGTAAATGATCTTCCAGAGGGTATAGACTCATTAGACACAATGTTTGCTGAAGATGCAAAAATTATGAGAAGAATCAAGACAGATGCAGATAGAGACTACAGGATGATAAGGACAAACTGGAGGAATGGTCTAGAAAATGGCTGCTAAAGTTCAACTCGGGAAAGTGTAAAGTAATGAAATTAGGCGAAGGGAGCAGGAGGCTGAACACAAGGTACCATCTGGGAGGAGAAGTGCTGCAAGGGTCAAAGAGAGAGAAAGATCTGGAGGTTGATATCACACCGAACCTGTCCCCAGAGGCCCACATCAAAAGGATATCATCAGCGGCATATGCTAGGTTGGCCAATATAAGAACTGCCGACAGGATGGACAAAGACAAACCCTTCAGCACGGGTGGAACACGAACAAGGGGACACAGGTGGAAACTTAGTACCCAAATGAGTCACAGAGACATAAGAAATTTTTTTTCAGTGTCAGAGTAGTTAACAGATGGAATGTATTAGGCAGTGATGTGGTGGAGGCTGGCTCCATACACAGTTTCAAATGTAGATATGATAGAGCCCAGTAGGCTCAGGAATCTGTACACCAGTTGATTGACAGTTGAGAGGCGGGACCAAAGAGCCAAAGCTCAACCCCCGCAAACACAAATAGGTGAGTACACCCACTATTCAACAAAGAACACAACAACAACAAAAGTGTGACGTGACGGAGACAAATAACCCTCACAACACAACCCGTCAACTTACAAACGACCAGAGCAAAAAATAACACAAAAACAAATTTGCATGAAGCGAAATAAATGATGTTGGTAACGGGGAGAGGGGTGAGTGGGGGAAGTGTGGGGAGGGGAGGGAGTATGGGGAGATGTGGTGTGGGGAGTGACAGATGAGGCGTGGGGAAGGGGTAAAGAGAGAGTAGGTGGTGTTGGGGCAGGGGGGAGTGAGGGCTGGGGTTGAGGGGAGGAGGCTAAGGAGAGGGAGGTATATGGATAGGGGGTAAAGGGAGACGGGGTTTTGGGGTAGGGGTTCTGAAGATAGAAGGTGAGGGGAAAAGTAACAGGATAACGGGGAGGAGGGGAGAAGGTAAGGGGGAGGGCTAGGACACTGGTAGTGGCAAGTTAAGAGGCGCGAGATTAATGACAGCGTTGATTAATGAACTACCACTAGAGGGGGTGGGGTGGAGAGGGGTCAGGTCACGGAGAGGTCACTATCCCCTTATAGTATGCAAGTGATGGTAGTTATCACCATGGGGGGGGGGGTTAACAAGGGGTACACGGCGAGGGAGGTCAGTAGACGTTCCCAGGGGTCACCACTCTTAGTCGACGCCAAGTCATCTTCGATTAGATTTTCACCTAAGAATACTTGAATACACACATGCCAAACGTCTATTGTACTAATAAACCTGTCTACACAGAAAGAATGACAGTCACACACACACACAGATCCCCCAGGTCCCCCTTCATAGGCCCTCCCTGTTTCCCTGCTTCAGGGGAAGCAATAGAAACCGAGAAAGGCCAGAAGAGAGTCAGTTTTAGGGTGATGTACTCGAACATCGATGGGATTACAAGCAAGACAAGTGAACTAAGGGAAAGAACACAAGAAGTAAACTCAGATATAATCGGACTCACAGAAACAAAACTCTCAGGAATCATAATGAATGCCGTGTTTCCCCAGGACTACACTGTAATAAGGAAAGAGAGGGAAGGAGGGGGAGGAGGTGGAGTGATTCTCCTAATGAGAAAGGAATGGAGTTTCAAGGAGATGGTTATCCCGGGCTGCGAGGGATGCAGAGACTACATAACAGGCACCATGACAATGGGAGGACCAAAAGTAGTAGTAGTAGCAGTAATATATAATCCTCCACCAAATGACAGAAGACCCAGTCAGGAGTATGACAACAACATGGCAGTTAACACTATAATTGAGAGGGCAGCCTCTGCTGCCTGTAGAAATAGATCCCATCAGCTCATCATGGGGGGACTTCAATCACGGAAGGAGACAGAGAACAAGGAACCGCAGGGAGGTGAGGATACATGGAGATCCAAAGTATTGGAGGTGGCGACAAGAAACTTCTTAATTTAAGCCAGCATGTCAGGGAACCCACAGGGATGAGAGGAAACGATGATAAAGCGAGGCTCGACCTAGTCTTCACTATGAATGACTCCGACATAAGGGAAATCGGTTTCGAAGCCCCAGTAGGAATGAGCGACCACAGTGTACTGGCGTTTGAGTATCTGGTTGAAGAAGGGTTATTAAACTATAGCATGGGTACTGAAAACAAAAGGCTGGCATTCCGAAAGAGAAAATGAGGAAGAGAATAAATTTAACAAAGGAAAAAGCAAGAGCAAAAAAGTTACAAAGAGAAACTGGATGAATCATATGAACCAAAATAAAATAAACAAGGAAAGAAAGCAATAAAAAAAAAGAGCTGATAAAGAAGTACAAAAATGAAATGTTAAACCAATGTATGAAATTTTCTTTGGTAGTCAACGAACGGTTTATTGATCCCGGGTACTCCAGCGTCGCCCCCCCCTCCTGGGGCGGGGGGCGGCGAAGTGTGTGTGTGTGTGTGTGTGTGTGTGTGTGTGTGTGTGTGTGTGTGTGTGTGTGTGTGTGTGTGTGTGTGTGTGTGTGTGTGAGTGAGTGAGTGAGTGAGTGTGTGTGTGTGTGTGTGTGTGTGTGTGTGTGTGTGTGTGTGTGTGTGTGAGAGTGAG